AACTCCTCTTGCAGCATAACAAGTACAGCAAGGTTCCCCAGTTCCGGTCCTGGAGAGGCTAGTCTGCCACACAGTTTGCGGATTTCCCTGCTCTGACACACCAAACTGACAGTTAGCTGGAGAGCTGAATAAGGTGTGTTTCAGCAGGGAAATCTGCAAACTGAGTGGCAGACTGACCCTCCTGGACCGGAACTGGGGCAGCCTGAAGTAGGACATTCTGCTAACAATGCAAAGATTGTGGGTTAATTTTCTAGGAACTCCACCTAAAGTGTAACCTTTTCCTTGACTGTGCTTTGATTTAAAGTTAGGTAAATGAGTAAAATATGAACACACATGCACCATGTGTAATATTTCTCATCCAATATTGCACTTCTCTCTTAATGCATCTTCTCTCTTAATGCACTGCTGTCTGTCCTATTGTCCCCTCAGGCATCTGTCCTCTGCCCTGCAACTGTGATCGGAGGCGTTGCTAGAGATTTTGGACCCCATGAAGACATATCATATTGGCCCCGCCAGTCCAGACCAATCCAATTATTTTCTAAATTTTCTAGGCCCCCTGCCACTCAGGGGCCCTTGGAATCGTCCGTACTTTCCCACGCCTTGCGGTGCCTCTGACTGTTGGCATACAAGGATGCCAACTTTGGTCAGCTGGCTGGTATGAAATGTTCAATGTGAGACAAGTCTGCCCACACATTTACATGCATGTAAGAGTTTTATGACCTTGTCTGTAGGGTTTGCAAACTGTCCCAGTGCTTTTGACGCAGCTTATTTTAGGTTCGTAATGGAATAATATAGATTTATCGTAAGATCTCATGCATGTGTTGAGTGTCATGCCTGATGCATGAAAGTTGGCAACCTTGGGCATAAGATTTTCACTGTGTTCCTTGGATCACGTGTAACAATAAAAATCTGAGACTTGAACATGGATGTAATTTTTGGAAATCTTCGTCACTCCAACCTCTGTGGGATCATGGAGAGACTCTCCACGGTTTTCCGGTCCACAGCACAGGACAGAGCTCCTGAGGTTATGGATCATTGAGGCTGATTCTCACACCAGGCAAGAACTCATGCTTTGGTGGGTATTCTGTGAGATTTCCTGTAGAATTTTAAGTTCACTCTGCAACTAAAGACACTAAATGTGCAGAATGTTGATTGTCATAGACCTCCACTGGATCACGGGGGAAAAGCCGTAAGCTTTTATTTGCAGACTGAAACATTTGAAGGGGATGTGCTCTGCTTCCAAATGTCCGAGGTACATTTTTCAGGCACAGACTGAACAGAATCAAATGGATATGACTATATGCATACATACTGTTATTCAGCACAATTAACAGTGTTTCACTAAAACCTGTTAAACCATAATAGGTGTAAATTACCCAGGAATACTGCTATTTGCCATGACTCACAGTTTTTTGGGTGTCAAATGATTCCTTCTGAAGTATATCATTGTAACTTTCAAAGCACATGTGTAACATTACTCTATCGGGGGACCTCATGCAGTAAAGCGCAGCACTGATGTGTGATGATGCAGGGTGTAGTAACGGTGGTGCTGAGTGCATGTGGCAGCCAGGCGGAGGTGCCATCGAACTGGGAGCGTACCGGTAAGAGTACAACAATACTCACACCTTTAAATGAAAAACGGTTGTAGTACTCAAGACCACTTTTTCATTTACTCTCGTCTCAGAATTGAGAGCATTTCTGTTCTGTCTTGAATCAGACTCTACCCTTCAAGGTCTCGGTGTTGAATCAGACTCTGCCCTTCAAGGTCTCAGTATTGAATCCCCTTCACTAATGCAGTGTTACTCATTTTTAATCATTGACAAATTCTTAATAGGCACATAGAAAACATCACACGTTTGTTCTTGACGTTATTGTCCCTTTATTTGTTTTTTTTTTTTAGGAGACAAACCCTAAATTGCCGCTGAAATTAATCAAGAGCTAGTAATGATTGCAAACAGGCTACCTATTTAAAATCATTCCCAAAATGTGCACTAGCTAATCGTCATTCAAATCATCCCCCAATTTTGTTTGATTAATTAACAGCCCAACTGACTCCAGCACCAGAACACAATGTGAAGATGAAAGGAACTGTTACTATATCAATTTTTAGGAAGGCAGGCCAGCTCTGAACAGTAGGCCTCTCTCTCACTTTGTGTCCACAGCTCTTACCTCCACGCCTCATCCCAAAGGCACCTCCCTGTGTCTCAGTATAGTGATTCCCCTGTGGTTAGTTATATCCTTGGGTGAGGTGACTTTCTAGGGTTGGCACCGTCCTCCAGCCTGCCGATGGGCATGGGGCTCCTGTAATGTTCATGATGGGATTATGCTACAGCAGGAATACGTAAATCCAGCAGACTGAAGCATGCCTGGAGAGCGGGTAAGTCACCGAAAGCCTCTTATATGTGCAGTTACAGTTATTTTTTATTTATTTCTCAGTGAGTAATTCATGTTTTCATTGTTTCAGCCTGCTGGGTGTTTGATGATGTTTTCTTCACATGGGCCATGATCTCCAGGTTTCTCTATCCTTGATTTCCTGGTGTATTATCTGGCGCATTGCCAACACAAAGGATAGCCCAGGACGCTGTAGAGTGGGCTGCGTCTCATTCCGCATTTAATAATCCTTATTTGCGTCCCGTCTCTCGAATAAATCTAGACGCAGCAGTTTGCCTTCAAGACATTTCCGGTGAACTTTAACAAAAACAATTCCGTGATATTTTAGCTTTACCTCCCGCAGTCGGTCATCAGCAGCTCTTTTGAGAACAATGAGTGTGAAGAGGTTTATTTTTTTTAGTCTGCTGTGATTAAAGGCATTTAAAAAAAATGTGTCAAGTAATGTACACTAAAAAAGCACATTGACGACACATAACAAAAAGTAAAAATGACCCCGGATGAGGAAAGGCAGCTCCCTGAATGAGATAATATTGCTCAACAACACCAACATTTGACCCACCCAACAGTTTGTTTAATTCAGCAGTAATGAACATTAACTCATGACCTGCGCAACGCTGACGCGTTTGCTAACGATTAGACAAAAGAGCTTTTGCTGCGAGTCCCGCAGGCCAGCAGCACACTTGAGCAGCGCAGCTTTAATTGCGAGTGCACTCCATTCCGTAATTGGCCATTTGAAGTCCCTTTTGACGAGCAGAGGTAACTCTGTATGACTAATTCTGGATATTCCGCTTTCAAAGCAGCTCATCTTTTAAACAAGAATGCACACCTGATAACAAGTGTAATTATTTTGCTATGGAGGCAAACATGGCGGTTTTCATACTTGCGCACTAACAGAGTCTGGGGTGGCAGATACGTTTTGCACTGAATCTCGTGTGGTGGAGACAGAATCCCAAGCAATTTCGGCCATTGTTCAGGGTTAGCCAGACAATCAGCATGGCTATAAGCCACTGTGACCGGATAGGAAAGTAGGTTTTTGTACTATGCCACCAGCTAAGATCATAAATATTATTTTCTGTGGCGTTGTCTTCACTATACTGTAGTATTACAGCACATGCTGAGCATGAAGGTTTTTTTAAATACGGATGCTGTATTACAGAGACTCACAGGAAACTGGCCCGTCCCCAGCCAATATCTGCCCAAGCTGTAAACATTTCAGCAGCTGAGTGAAAATGCAATGCTCTTAAGCATGAAAACTACAGGAAGGGCTGCTTTAAATAATTCACTCAAATACAGCAACTTTTAAACTATTTATTCTGCAGATGTCTAAGCACAGCCTCTGAGCTTAATGACCAAATCCGTCCTCATTTCTGGAGACTGTCAGTGATGTTAAGTAGTTTGAATGAAAAGTGCATAAAATAATGCCCTTGCACAAATTTGCTGACAGTAAGGCTATATCATCCATTCATTTACGCCTTCTCGACATGTAGGGTTTTAAAAACAATTACATAGGATGTGATTCATGGAGCTGAATTCGTTTCCAAGAATCAATCCTTTTCAATTTCATCTGACAAGAATATGTGATGGCGGACTCACGTTTCCTATGTGCCTGGAAGACTTTGCTGTTGTACCCTTGATTGAGGTACCTAACCCTTATCACACGTGTAAAAGATCCAGCTGTATTACATAAATAAAGGAAATTGCAAGTTACTTTTGGATAGGGAGGTGCAGACAACCAGCATCGATACCCAGGATCAGCAGTCACTCAAAATGTAAGCTAGTGCAAATGATAAAAAAACAATCAATTTGTGGTTGTTGTGGTAGCTCTGTCGGTCGCACAATTAAATTACTTCATCCGTTTTTGTGTTGCAGTTCAAATCCCGCATGGGTGTGTGGTGTTTCCATGTTTTCCCTGCGTCATGGAGGTTTAAGCCTGTGAACTCCTAGTTGGTGTGCGTCCTGAGATGGATTAGAACCCCACAACAGTATGCCCATCAATCTGAAAAAGTAGGTAGGATATGGAAAGACAACGAAGTATTTATACGACACCTAGTGGAGAAAATGCGACCTAGCGCTATGCGATTGTAGTGCTCTATCAGAGTCCGAGTCCATCACACGCACAAAAACAAAACCACGCTGATGGTCCATTTACAGACGACTGGTTTATATACTTGTGGACCTGGGACGCCCCTCCAAGGCAACGCTATACTGGATACGCTTCTGGAGGATGGATGGATAATTATTTCTTCAAGGGTGTTTAAGAACCAGCCTGACCGCAATGGATTGCTACGCAAAAAGACAGTCAACTTTTCCGTCACTTAAACATGAAAATTAAGTTATATTTAATATATTTAATATTTACAGAAAAATATCGGTCATGAAATGGAATAATTAAGAGCCATAATGCTACTGTAGCCTACTTCTCATTTTGCCCGGTTTGACAGAAGGCGAACTTCAGGATAGTGATAGTGTGCATACACAATTATGTCATCTGAGTATACAAAATACTGTAAAAACGTGTTTAAAGACGTGTCTAGACATATGGCCACCCTCCAAAGGCTGGGATAAAGCATGGGTTAAGGCGGAACGTTTCTTTGAGGGTTCTGGTGGGTCACATCGATATTGTTCCCCCTCTATACAGACAGCTGGATGAGAATAGCCGTGTGATTTTCCGGATCATATCAACACAAAGTATTGCTTTGTTTTATGGAAATGCAGCTAACCCAGCAGCTGGAATTGTTTCCCGACAGTGTCGTGACCCAGTGCCTGTTTAAGGATGTTAAAAACGCGGCGGAGCTGCGGAAAGCGGCCATTGGAGGGGAGATCAGCTGCGCACTAATAAACCCGTCAATGGTGAGACACCGTGCCTATAAAAACACATGTGATTAAAACGTGTGATTAACACAGCGTTATGTCGAATCTTTGCAGGTACAAACTTAATGCGGGTTAGACTAAACCACTCGATACGCTGCACGCGTAAGCTTTATATAAACACAACATCTAGTAAACATCTGTTTACAGCGTGCATGTCCATACAGTAAGGGCAGCCTTTAATAGAGTCTTAAGGCTTTTTCTCCCATCACAGGTGGTCGGTCCGTTTCAGGTTCAGATTGCTGCAAATAAAGCACTTCATCTGCAAAGGGTTGGGAAAATGAAGACAAGGAGTCTTTATTCTGAAGTAATATTTAATCTTTGTCCTACAAATAACGTAAGTTGCACAATTATTCGTATTAATATGTTTTAAAAACACGATAATATGGGCAGGTTATGTGTGTCTAAGCATGTGGCATGATTTTTGGGTTTTGATTTTCTTCAATTTCAGATATCAGAGGCTTTCAAAAAGTTTGGCACCTCCGACAGCGACAGTGCCGTTCTTATTGCCCTGATTCATACGGAAGAGGACAGTCATAACATAGATGCCATTTGTGCCAAGGTGGATGGTCAGCAGATTCCAGTTGAGCATCTTGCCACCATCAGCGACATCCCAAAAGTGAAAAAGGTTAATCTGCTTCAATGTATCTTTCCGTAGGTTTGTGAGAGCTAACCACTGGCTACATACTTCCATGAATTCATGGCACTGCTGTCTGACAGGGTTTGGATCCATTCTCAGCCCCGTCTGTAAATTTACCCGTTTAGCTATGAATACACTGAGGTGGATTGGTGTCCGTTCGAAACTGTGCCCTTGGCTTCAATTCACAGCGTCCCCCTTGGGGTTGTGGAAAGAATATCCCAAAAAATGCAGTAACTGTTGTCTGCCACTAGGTGGCACAATATGACCATTAACTCCTTTCAGTAATTCACAAACTAGCACCATTCATCCCCAAATTCCAAATTGCACGTCGTATGTAAACAATTGTCAGCTCCCTCTGGAAGGTGCTTAGATGTGGCATGTAGGGTGTGGTTTGCTGTTTTCAGTGTGGGGCCCTACAGGAGTGTTTCTCAAACCGGGTTTTGGGGACCCCCAGACAGTCCATAGGATTGGGTTAGGAAGCACTGCCCAACAGCATCGGAGGACACGTGACGATTAGCGCACAGGGGCTCCCCTATCTGCGGACTTGGTGACCCTGAGCCCAGCTCGCGCTCCTGGTAACCAGTGCAGCTTGTTGTTCTTCCTCCAGGTGTATAAGGTGACACCCGCAGAGGAGGCTTGTGGAAGCTTGCTGGATGCTGTGGTCTGCAGAATGGCAGTGAAGGATGTCCTTTAGCTGCACACCATCTTGGGAGAGGCGTTACGCAGTGAAGTGTGTTATGCAGTAAAGTGTGTAAAAAGTACAGGGCGGCAAATGGACATTACTGATGCTGTGGGACCTACCTGTGTTTCTGCTCAAACATTATGATGGTACCTCTGCAAAACACGGTCATCTGCCTTTCATGCTGGAACCCACAGATGTTCTCCTGGTAGGAAGTTTGAACTGCAATTTGTTAATCTGTAATATATTTTGTGACACGTTCTTAACAAAAAAGGGGCAGCTTGCCATTTTGGTAGAATAATACTTAAAAAATTTATGAGGGAAAACTGTCTTTTGTAATATGCTGTAAGGTATATGCACTTACGGGAGTTTATTTTGATGAAACTTGCAGTCCATTGGGATTCATGGCAGAACTGTAACACAGACGATCTGTGGTGAAGTGCAGGCTGTTCCTCTGGGACGGCTGCCATCAAGCTCATTGTTTATAAGCGTAAACAGGCTGCAAATTCATTAGCAACATACAAATGTACCCTCAGTATAAACAAATGTGCATCTGTTTAAATGATGTGTGATATAGTCATTTACTAAACAAGCAAAGTGGTGCTTATGGTGTCTTAAATGGAGATTATGAATATGTGGAACATCAGCTGCTTGAAACATTTGTATAAAACTGGAGGTTTCCTCTTTAATGCCAAGTGTTCTGCCCTTTTTTTTCCTACCCAACAAAAACTGCTTCCCAGCGCTGCAGCAAAAAATAAAACAGCAGCCGACGCTATACATGTTTGAGGCCGTAAAAACCGTATTACTCACTATTCCAGCTCACCGGCAGTCATTTGGGTTAAGACTCATCTCTGTTTCTCCACTTTATGCCTCTGTTCAGCACATCCCTCCAGACTGTGTGACAGAGGCACCAGCTGTCGTGCTTCTGCGTTACTGGGCAGTGAACATTTCTATTTATGGGACTTATTTCCTCATTAAGGAAGCATAAAAGACTTTTGTACACTTCGTTTTTGATTTACACCGTATTGACAGTGGAAAAGTGCTGATGCGTTTAAATATTTCACCCATACAGTAAATTTAAGTGATGCTTTCATAGTTTTTAAACACTTAGTTGTTTCTTCTGTATGCTGTTTTAAACACACCAGAAAAATGCTGATGAGCAATCACTGATTGTCTTACAAAGTGGATTTATTAAAACTATGATACATGTGTTTAAGTGAGGTTTGCACTATCCTCTCAGAAAAAAGGGTCAAATTTTGTACCTTTGTCACTGGGGCTGTACCCTTGTAATGGTACCATTTAAGGTAGAGAAACAGGTCTCTGAGGAGCATCCCAAAGGTACAAAGATCATTAATGCTGCATCAATGGTACAGAAATGTTCTGAGAGTCCATTTCTGTACCTTAAAAACTACTATTACCTACAGCTAAGGGTACAATTGGCAGATCCTGGAAGGAACAGCCCCAGTGACAAGCAGAGGTACACATTTTTACTCTTTTTTTTTCTGAGAGTGTAGAGGATCATATTAGCTGTTAGGGAGTTCCAGTGTGTTTACTGTGGTGTTTCCTCAGGTCTCCCTCATCCACGGGTCCCAAGTACAGTGCCATGATTGTTTGCCAGAATGGCAGTCGCGGTGGTAAACGTCTCCTTGTTAATCTGGCCACCTAATCATACCTTCTCCTCTGCATTAGTGCTAGGATGGACTGCATGGTAAAGGTTCAGCACAGCCCTCCGTCATGGTGCATCTTTTCCCACATTCCTGTTTTCCCTCCAAAATGCGAGCGTCAGTTTAGAGGATTTAAGAAAAATTCATTTATTGAACAAACGAAATTGTACTTACTGTAATCAAACGAAAGTAGCGAACAGTTAGGCTTTAACAGTAAACATCAGCGGGTTGTTTCTACTGAAAATTCTTTATAAACAGTCAATCCTCAAAATAATGTCATTATTTAACTGGCAAATGCCTATAATTCACAGGGTCGTCCGTCCCTCAAATAGTAATAAAAACCAGACGTAACCTATGAATGCCTCATCTTCTGCTCGAGTTCATTCCCCCATCATAATGTGAGAGAATTGTGATTTGGACTATTTGGAAAACTAAACTAAATGCGTGTGCTTGTAATGTGTTACCTGCCTCATTTGTACGTGGCTTTGGACATAAAGTGTCAGAAATATAAAGGCAATCATTTAAATAATGTGATGCAGCTAGTTGCATGTTCACTTTACATCGCAGCTAGAAAACTCATCCCTGGAGTCCCCTGTGCTCTGAGCTCAACGGATTAAGCGCAGGCTCCCCTCGTGCGTCAGATTAGCGGATTGGATGGATGGATCATTACACTAGAATAATGTAGTAGTCGATGTTAATTTCTTCCGGCTAAATAGACGTATTGCTCCACCAGGTGGCGCTGTTCTCCACTATGGACATTATTGTATTTGCATTGAAATCATCCATCGTCTTCCATCAATACAAGTAACCCTGCAAAATCTTCAGAGATTTTTAGAAAGTTACACCACCGAAGAAGAATTCATTCGGTGCTGATGCATTTAAATATTTCACCCATACAGTAAATTTAAGGGATGCTTTTATAGTTTTTAAGATTATTAGATTATTGTCATCATTCTCGTCATCAACGTTCAATGGGATTCGCAATCACAATGTAAATTTACCTTTTCGTCTCTTTTTAAGTGTTAAACTCTTTGTTCTTCATTTTGATGACATGGGACTGCTCAGCGGTTCCAGGTAACGCAAAACAGAAGCTGTTCAGTTTTAGTTAGTTTGATATTGGTTCAAAATTAGTGTCAGAAGAATGCCTTTGAATTATCGTGGATTTTAAAGCTGCTCAAAGTTTTAATAGGGTTGTGGAGATGAAATTTCCTTTTCACAGACATGATTCGAGGTATGTAACATGACGTATCGGAGAATGACAATAGACAAAGCATTCCTATGCCAATAACTCACCGAGCAAAGTAAGAAGCAGGCAAAAGCCCATAATTCCAGGGTCTCGCATTACATAAAGAGCCAGAGAGGGTAACTGGCAGAATGGGAACGCAAGAGGGGTCAGCAGACACAGCAAAATCCCTGAGAGCTGCCCGCAGCCTCCCTTTCTGGCAGGACCTCACATGAATTCATATATATTCATGCTTATATTCATAAGGCAGCAAGCCTCCACACCGAGGGCGCTCAGCGAAGCCTAAATGTCTTTCTGCGCCACTTGCTGATTGCTGCCCCTCCTAAAAAAAGCAGGCCTACCTGACCAGTTAGTGACATGTATGTGTATGTTATTCCGGTGTTTAACACGGGTGTTTGCGGGGAATTTATGTGCTGATAACTGAAGGAAACATTTTGACCGCAATGGGAAAGACAACAGTTACAAAAAAGCCGACTGATTATTTTAAAGTCGTACTCCAGCTCTTGCAACAGTACAGCATTTTAAAACACGGACATGAGAATGTAATTTTCAATTTTTAAAAAGACTTTAGTTATTTTAATTGGTTGCGTAGGAAAAACACTTTAAGGCAGAATTAGTTCGATTTTTATCTTTTCACTAGTTGGATGTCAAATTACCGTGATACACCATTTTTCAGTAGGTTCTCGTTTTAAATGTTAATAGTAAGTTTTATAAACATACAGTCGTTACGCGCCAAAGAATTATTACTTTAATAATTAATTTCTACACGGAGTGACAGTAATATTGTTCTGAAGCGTAATAAAACAGAATCTGCTGAAATGTGTCTATGCCGGGTTTAAGTGAAAATTGTCTGTGATTTATAAATACTTTTTACAACTGCATAAAGTAATATAATTCAGTTTATAACTAATGAATTCCTATAATTGTACCGTTTTATTGTATGAAATTTTCCAGTTCACGCATACGTGAGAGTCAGAATACGGCAGGCAATCAGGAGGAAGTTTCAGTGGCAAAAAAGCTCTTGATGTAACGGAGCTGGGAAGAAAGAGCATTTAAAATACAATGCATGTTAACAAACCATCACAAAGATGAGTGAGACAATGGTGGCAGATACCAGCCGATATCCATACGAAAGCCCCGGAGAGGAGTCCCCAGTGGGACACGCACAGCAGGTTTATGCTAATCACTTTCGGAGGAGGGGAACTGCGGAGCCATTTTGGAGTCACTTTAAAGTTAACGTGGAGATGATGGGACGCGGCGTGAAGGTGCCTGTTTAACGAGGCTCACGGACGGGGAGAGCAGCACGATGCGCCGGCACAGGTGGAGTTAAGGCACCTTCTCGGTGTTTTCCTGCACTTGCGTGGATTTGTGGACTTTTTAAGCCATGGAGCTGCCGGTGACCTGGGTCTGGGTCTGGACTGCGCTTCTGCTCCACGTCCCCATGCTGGCATGTTTCGATCTACACGTTTCGCACTCTCTGCGCCCGGGCGCCGTTTTGGCAAACTTGTCCGTCGGTCATGGCTGGATTTATAAAATCGACAGGACTTTAACCCCCAAATATCTCCGGAGCGTGTTGGAGATTGAGAAGCAAGGAGGAGCTCTGAGCCTGTCCCGCAGAGTTGACTGTGCGCTCCTGGAGAGGAACCCGGCGCCGCTCCATGTCAGGATCTCCTCCCTGACATCTCAGGCTCTCCTCCGGGCGCGCTTCAGTGTCTTTGCACATGGCCAGGGCTGCTTCATCACATACAGGCGAAAGAGTCCCCTAGGTAAGCCTGATATCTACATTAATCACCTTTCAAGACTGAACGCAACATCCTGCTTCTCCGCAGGTAAATTGCCGTTGAATGTAAAGAAATATGTACCCGCATTTGCTCGCGATTTCCAGTTTTCTGATCTGACGTGCACAGACACTAATCCTCAGCTGCATTTAAATTTGCCATCATTGAATACTAAGGAAAGTTTACCACAGTTAAATGGGAAGATCTGTGTGCGGTCCGGGGACAAAAGCGAGGTGAATTTACACTGCTGGATGCACACCGCGAAGAACAAGCGGCTCTCCATGCGGGTGAGGCTGCGCTTCGTTGTCACTAATGGTTCATGGTCAGGACGGCTTACGGACCGCGATCCAAACCTGTGGATCAGACGGAACAAGAGAAACGTGAACTTCGCTCCTCAGTTTCAGCTGCCCAACTATCAGGTGTCAGTCCCGGAGAATGAGCCGGCCGGTACCCGTGTTATTACACTCAAGGCGCATGACCCGGACGACGGAGAGGCCGGCAGAGTAGAGTACGGGATGGAGGCGCTTTTTGACAGAAGATCCAGCGACTTCTTTCAAATCAATCCGCAGACCGGCAGTATAACCACCGTGCAGCGCTTAGATCGCGAGGTCAAAGACACGCACGTATTTAAAGTTACTGCGACTGACAATGGCACTCCACAGCGATCAGCTATCGCCTACCTTACTGTCACTGTAAGTGACACCAATGACCATGGGCCTGTTTTTGAGCAGACAGAATACAGGGTCCGGATCCGGGAAAATGTTGAGGTGGGTTTTGAGGTGCTCACCATCAGGGCTACTGATGGAGATGCACCATCCAACGCTAATATGATCTATAAGATAGTGAATGGAGACGGTGTAAACTCAGCTTTTGAAATTGATCCCAAACATGGATTAGTTAAGATCAGGGATCGTCCGGATCGAGAAATTATGTCCCGGTACCAACTGATAGTGGAAGCCAATGACCAGGGCAAAGACCCCGGACCTCGCAGTGCGACAGCTACTGTGCACATCACAGTGGAGGACGAGAATGACAACTACCCACAGTTCAGTAAGAAAAGGTATGTGGTTCAGGTGCCGGAGAACGTGGTCGTCAACACTAAAGTCGCACAGGTAGAAGCTACTGACCAAGATGAGGGCAACAACGCCAAGGTGACCTACAGCATCATCAGCGGCAACGTGAAGGGCCAGTTTTACATCCACTCCCCCACGGGCGTCATCGATGTCATCAACCCGCTGGATTATGAGATGATCAGGGAGTACAACTTGAGGATAAAGGCGCAGGATGGAGGTCGCCCGCCTCTGATTAACAGCACGGGGCTGGTGGTGATCCAGGTGGTGGATATTAATGATAATGCCCCCATGTTTGTGAGCACGCCTTTCCAAGCCACCGTGCTGGAAAATGTGGCCGTCGGACACTCGGTGATTCACATCCAGGCCATCGATGCAGATTCTGGAGACAACGCCCGCTTGGAGTACCGGCTGCTGGACACCACCCCGGGCTTTCCCTTCACCATCAACAACAGCACCGGCTGGATTACAGTCAGTGAGGAGCTCGACAGGGAAACCACAGAGTTTTACACCTTCGGTGTGGAGGCCCGTGATCTGGGGTTTCCCACAATGTCATCATCTGCCAGTGTCAGCATCACCGTGCTGGACGTCAACGACAACATTCCCACCTTCAGCCAGAAGCTGTACTCACTGAAGATTAACGAGGACGCCCTGGTGGGCACCAGCGTCCTGACGGTCACTGCTGTTGACCGGGATGTCAACAGCGTGGTGACCTATCAGATCTCCAGTGGGAATACTCGCAACCGGTTCGCCATCACCAGCCAGAGTGGCGGCGGCCTCATCACACTGGCACTGCCGCTGGACTACAAGCAGGAGCGGCAGTACATCCTGACGGTCACCGCTTCAGACGGCATGCGCCATGACACGGCCCAGGTGTTCATCAACGTCACTGATGCCAACACCCACCGGCCCGTGTTCCAGAACACCAACTACCAGGTCACGTTGAGTGAGGACAAGCCCATTGGGTCCACGGTGGTGGTGATCAGTGCCACCGACGAGGACACGGGCGAGAACGCTCGCATCACCTACATCATGGAGGACAATGTTCCCCAGTTTAAAATTGACCCTGATTCGGGTGCCATCACTACCCAGATGGAGATTGACTATGAGGACCAAGCCTCCTACACACTGGCCATCATCGCCCGTGATAACGGCATCCCTCAGAAATCAGACACGACGTACGTGGAGATCATTGTCCTGGATGCTAATGACAATGCACCGCGCTTTCTTCGTGACATGTACCAGGGCTCTGTGTTTGAGGATGCACCAACCTACACCAGCGTCCTGCAGATCTCCGCTTCTGACCGGGATTCCGCGTCCAATGGGAGACTGAGCTACACATTCCAGGGTGGTGATGACGGCGATGGTGACTTCTTTATTGAGGCCTACTCTGGGATTATTAGGACGGCCAGGAAGCTGGACAGAGAGAATGTGCCCTTGTACAACCTGAAGGCCTATGCTGTGGATTGGGGCATCCCTCCTTTGAAGGCCGCTGTTAATATTCAGATTTCGGTTCTGGACATTAACGACAATGCGCCAGTGTTTGCTGAAGATGTGTTGAACGTCTGGGTGAAGGAGAACAGTGCAGTGGGTTCTATTGTGGCCCGGATCACCGCCACGGATCCGGACGAGGGCTCCAACGCGCAGATCATGTACCAGATCGTAGAGGGAAATTTCCCAGAAGTCTTTCAGTTGGATATTTTCACCGGTGACTTGATCGCGCTGGCAGATTTAGATTACGAGACCACCACGGAGTATGTGATTGTGGTTCAGGCAACATCAGCGCCGCTGGTCAGCCGGGCTACCGTGCACATCCAGCTTGTGGATGTCAACGACAATTACCCCATCCTGCAAGACTTCGAAATCATTTTCAACAACTACGTCACTAACAAGTCAAGCAGCTTCCCATCAGGGGTGATTGGGAAGGTGCCGGCCCATGACCCAGATGTATCGGACAAACTCCATTACAGTTTCCTGGAGGGGAATGAGCTGGGTCTTCTGGTTCTGAACCAGGACAATGGCGACCTGAAGCTCAGCCGGGACCTGGACAATAACCGGCCTCTGGAAGCGACCATGAAGGTGTCCGTTACAGGTACGGTGCCCCTCCTGTCATCTCTGAAATAATGCAGCCATTTCAGTTTAATGTTCTGCTTTGCTTTTGCATGACTGACTTGCTCAGAAGTGTGAGGTAGACGTTGGGCAATAGGATGAGTTTTTTTAAAAAAGAGGCAGGATTTTGTTCCAGGTTTTGTTCAAGTGCTTGTGACACATTTGCTTTGGGTCGCAGTCTCTGATTGTGTCACGTTATGTTATTGGGCAACAGGGGCTATAATAAGCAGTTGTTAGTGTTCTTGGAATTCCGGAAGGATCGTGACAATGAACATGACAATGAACAATGAATTCTGGCTGATGAGTGAGGTTTTAAAAATAAAAATATTCTTTATTTGCTGGCGGACTGTTTTTATGCCTAATTATGATTAAATTGCGTGGCAAGATGGTGTTGAATTGAAAGCTGTCATTTATGCTAAGTGAACGTCCATATCTGCAAGCGTGTTCCTGTGGTCTGTCCCTGGTAGCCCTCTGGGCTTCAGCAGAATTAGGCCGAAAGTTCTCAGTGATAAACTGGTTGACCTGGTGAGTCTATGTCTGCATTCTTCTCTTTTTTTTGGAAGCATAAAAGAGCAGGAAGACGCTGGTATTTCTTTCGTCCTGCAGGCAGGCTTCTTCATTTTCAAAGGTTAGCCGTCCGCCGGCTGAGAGCCTGGTACTCACGCTCTCCTGCGACCGGGGCGGCAGCTCACCGTGCAGCTGAACATCAGCATCTGAGGGATTCGGCCTTTGCTCAGAAAGCGTCTGTGTTTGTGTCGCTTGCTGTTGTCCTGCCTGGACCTTGTAATCACACCCTGAACACTGACCCTTCATCTCTGCTTATATAGCCTCTTGTAGCTGCTTCCATTTCTGGAAATCGCTGTTATATATCAGCTTTTAAACTGCTACCTTTTCTCCTTGGAAATAAAGCCCCAGCAGACCCCTCTGAATGCCTCTGTTCAGGCTGTGTGAAAGGCTTTATCCACGAGACACAGCCATTATCAGTATTAATGAGCTGTCCAATCAGGTTCTTCCATTACGGACCTGACTCTGTGGTTTCCCTGTCAGTCGTGACCCCTGCAGTCCACCCTCAGAGCCCCCACTTCCTCTCCCTTCCTCTCTCGTGGCACCATGTCAAATGTTAGGTAACTGTTAGTGCTGAAGGCATGACCTTTCACCTCTGCGGTGTGGAGGTGGCCCGAAGCGTCATGGCGGAGGAGAGAAGAGAGGGCTGCGGTCCTACTAATTGACTAACTGATCCCAAGACTCTCAGAGCACTGCTGTTCTGGATATGAAGAGTAGGGATGTCCAGCCCGAGCAGTGAGCTCAGTGCCACGGCCGCCTGCAATGGATGAATACAGACGCTTCTCTACTTACGAACTTTCAACTTACGAACTTTCAGACATAAGAACGAAGAGGACTGTAAGTCCAAATTGTGTTCCTTTGGGCTCCCGTTTCCTGTCCGCAACATCAATTTTTTTTCTGCGCACCAATTCCGCCTAGCATGACTTCTGGCCGCTACTCCCGCCGCGCAGCAGCGTAGCTACGTACTCCCAGCATCCTAGTCGTTTGTACTTGCGTATACCCTTAAAATGATGTTGAATAACGACTTACAAACATTTCAAGTTACGAACGGCCATTCGGAACATATCTCGCTCGTAAGTAGAGGAGCGTCTGTACTGAATCTTTCACTTTTATCTGACTCCAGGTTTGACAAAGAAGTGCAGATTGCCTGTTTTTTCAGGCATCAGAGTCACTTATAAAGGCTTAAAATAATATGGCAGCCATGTAAAGACAGAAATGCTGTGCCGCTTAAGTAAACTAACATTCCAGGCACTACAACAGTGAGTCAGTCCCGCGTAGTGCGTGGAGATCGGCGAATAAATGACAGGGCAACAATGTGGGTGCTCTACAGATAACCCAGTCCCTCTTATCTCAATCTGTAAACATCTTACCAGATTTCCCCAAAGTGAGTCTTTTTTGTTTTTCTTTTCTTCTGGGGAAAGGAACGACTGAGTATTCCTCCTTTCTGTACATTGTCATAGTGAATATAGCACTGTACTGGGTGCGTTTGTTACCCTCATCTGTTTTTAGTTCTTTGTACATTCTGCCCTAGGCTAAGTCATTTGTCTCTAACTTGATATAATTATGTTCTGTGTGTTATATGCAGTCATATGCAGTCATATGCAGTCATATGCTTACCAACTGACACAGACGTGTGGTTTGATTTTATACAAATAAAAATAAATAAAGAATCATGCGTGCCCAGTGATCAGCGGCACCTCCCCACCGCCTGGAGTGACTCAGTCTACCTGAGATGTGGGACGAGTTAAAACCAGACCTTCATTTCCAACACGTGTTATTTAAACCTCACCCGCCCCCCACCCTCCTCCCCCCAGAGCAGCTCTCAGAGTCTCATAAATACAGGGCAGGTTTTAACCCTTGTAATGCTTTGAAGGTGAGTACGGCGGCCAGTTGTGTGCTGGCTTCGTCCCCACTGGATGTAGATGGAGATATGAATTGTAGGTGTGTCGCGAATCGACAAGACAAATGGGTTTGAGTTTGACATGTGGCTTAATTGATGGATTCCTTCACGCCAGTTCTGCTCTCACAAGCGCGTCAGTTGCCATGGCTGGATGATTCATAGGAACCATCAAATGTGAAAATTTCATTCGCTGATGCCACGGTGTCTGGTCCTCAAACCCAGTCCTTGCTCGCCTCCTGATGAATATCGACACCAGCAGCAGCGTTTAGACGGCTCAGAGTCTCATGCCCCGATAGACCAGGGTTCTGGTTAAGGGGTCAGTAGCGCATCTTTATCTGCCCCACACAGTGATTCTCCTGCCCCTCGCTGTGTCTCCTGCCCCACATGGTGATTCATCTGCCCCACACGGTGATTCTCCTGCCCCTCCCTGTGTCTCCTGCCCCACATGGTGATTCATCTGCCCCACACGGTGATTCTCCTGCCCCACACGGTGATTCTCCTGCCCCTCACAGTGATTCTCTTACCCCACACAGTGATTCTCCTGCCCCACACAGTGATTCTCCTGCCCCTCACAGTGATTCTCCTGCCCCACACAGTGATTCTTCTGCCCCACACAGTGATTCTCCTGCCCCACACAGTGATTCTTCTGCCCCACATGGTGATTCTCCTGCCCCACACAGTGATTCTCCTGCCCCACACAGTGATTCTCCTGCCCCTCCCTGTGTCTCCTGCCCCACATGGTGATTCATCTGCCCCACACAGTGATTCTCCTGCCCCTCCCTTTGTCTCCTGCCCCACATGGTGATTCATCTGCCCCTCACAGTGATTCTCCTGCCCCTCACAGTGATTCTCCTGCCCCTCACAGTGATTCTCCTGCCCCTTCCTGTGTCTTCTGCCCCACATGGTGATTCATCTGCCCCTCACAGTGGTTCTCCTGCCCCTCCCTGTGTCTCCTGCCCCACATAGTGGTTCCCCTGCTCCACACGGCGGGTTACTTCTGGGCCAGATAGTTGTTCTTCCGTGTTTTTCGCTTACATCACAGGCTCCTTCTCGTCCCGGTTACTATTCTGATTCCCTTTGGCAAGCATGGTTATATTGAACCCAGAGCCTAGCAAGATGACAGGACTCTACACGGTGTGCCATGTTGAGGGGGGTCTGGGGTTTTCACCAGATGCGGCTCGGCCCCCTGCAGTGACTTTGCTGCCTTTTGGATTGTGTCTAGCCACTTTGCAGTGCGCAGTGCGTAGGTGTGTGTGTGGCCATGCTGTAATGGCGCGCTGTTTGCACACCGCTCACGTCTGTGTGCTGCTGAAAGTGGATATTTGCCTTGTTTGTATTTAATTTGACATTTTAAACTTTCGCCCAAAGGCTTTGGATCTGGGCTGTGTTTATGAGCGGATTTCAGCATGTTTGCTAGGTCGAGGCCTCTAGTCTGCTACTGGGAATGTGAGCCTCTCACACAGTCGGAGGCTTTTCAGTGTTTCCTGGGAGTGAGACGGCCAGAGTGCTTGTAAGGTTAGGAACCTGGGAAAGTGAATGGGGTGCAGGGACTGGGGGGCGATCTGTCTTTGTCGCATGACTCCTGTCACATGATCAGGCTGTTTGTTGAGTTAAACATTGTATTTCTCTCCCAAATTCACCTGCTTCTTCACTTAGAGCCCTTACCACTGCACTAGGTACCGTATTTTTGGTACGGTACTTTCAGTACTTTCTCTTTTCCATTGATTTCTGGTAAAAGTTCCAGCACCAAAAGCCTGCTAAGCTTTGCTTCACCATGGCCATACCTGATGAAGAGAGGCCAAATTCATTTTTATGACTGTACTTTTTTCCTCGTTTGTGCACAGTTCCCCGTCTTATTCATACAGCTTCATAAGTCTCGCTAATCTTGTTTTAAGGTGGTCCGGGATAAAGTGAGCTCGTCTACTCCTTCATGCTGTTCTCCTGTTGGTTGTGAGGCCACAGTTGTTGTAGAGGTGTAAGATACCAAGGGCCTCTATTTTCCTGTCTGTCATCCTATTGTTCTCCAGTGGATAAGTGAAGGTTCCTGTCTGTGAACCTGAGGATCTCCATGTGTCAGGTGAAGGTTCCTGTCTATGAAGTGATCCTTATCAGCAGTTTCTGTCACTGTACATGGTGAAAGCCTACATTGGTGTCCACAGGAGCAGCTATTAAACAGCACAATGTCTGGGGTTTCCATAGGCATGGTGGTGAGCTTTCACCACTTCAGGACTTGAATACAACCCTGGACCAGGTTGTATTTGGCCTGTTGGAACCGGTTAAAGTCTCCTTTGTGATCGGACAGTGTAACATACAGGCAAGGCCCACACATGCCTGAAATTTGCTTTATTACAATACATTCATGCTTTAATGTGGCCCTTGCTGCAGGGTCCTCTTGTTGAAAAATGAGGAATGTTTCTGCATCACAATAATTGGACCAATAACAGATGTCTTAAGCTTGATGATTGAAAATGCCTTTTCGAATGTTTAGTACTGAAACAGTGAAGTGATTGTTGTTTGCA